CTGGCCCTCGCTTGGTCGCCGCCCCTAATTTACCTGTATTTACCTGTATTGGTCATATTCACGTGGAGCACCATTTATAGGCTGGGTATACCTTTGTATCAATATTGGCTGAAATCTATAATCAAACGTAAGTTGCTTTATCATAAATACTTGATATTACTACACTGTTTAAAGAACCCTTGATCGGTTATATATTATAAATAGAGGAACAGAGGAACTGTATTACTTCACACAATTATTGTTTGCTAAATTTCTAAACAATTTTATCCGACAGTTTAATGTATACGCCAGGTATTTTTTTTAGCTCTTTTATGCTACTAAAACTTTACTTCATCTGTTATCGTAATTCTTATTTTATTTTGGGAAACGACTGGGTCCTTTAGCGAGTGTACCTTGGATCGGAAGTTTATTACAGGCCTCTACTTAGACCTACCCATTTATGTTTCTTTCATCATACAACGAGACAAATAATTAACTTTGAGATAATATATCTTTAAAACGCTCTGAAATCTAAATAGTTCATATTGATTACAGTATTTGTATTAGTTTTTTTATAGCAAAGGATTCGTCCCATTATTTTATTACCATAGTTTTAAGAACTCAAGAAGTATTTAGAAAACTATTAAATACCCCGATTAAAACATGGGTATATGTGAAAGGGTGGGACGATTTACCCATTACTACCCAATACTACCCAATACCACCCAATACCACCACATACTAGCCAATACTACAACACAGTGATGCAAAATGGACATATCATATTTTTTTTAAATAGAGAGTTGTATCACGGGAATGTACTTCAAATCCGATATCGATGTCTGGCTGTTTCATTTGCCTCCCTATATCACCCAAAACAAGCAAATAATAACCCAATAATACCAAATACTTACCAAATACTACTCAATATTGACAAATAACAGCACATTAGGATAATTACTGCAACGAATATTTGATATTTTACCCAGTTATCTCCCTTTACAACCGATAAATAGAGTTTAGATTGCTACTCAGGTTAAAGCTGAAATCCGATTACAAAACTATGGAAATAATTAAATTTAAAAAAAGATAACGGCCCAAACAGTCGCCATACTTGTTTTCAATTTGTTGAACAAATATGGCGCCAGATGAGGGGTATAAGGAGACGGTGAAAACATACCTATTTGGTATAGGGAACAATAGTTTTATTGCTGCTTTGGATACCTTTTGGAACTATAATACTAGACTTTATGATGCATTAAATTATATGATGTTTCTACCTTGTTGTGCAAAGCATTTCACAAAATAAGAAGAATTGAATGGCGTTTGCATAGTTAATGTTTGGGGGTAAGAGAGTTTTTCTCTTGTTTTTTAGAACAAAAGTACATTGTGGCTGGCTTATTTCATCTAATTAGTAAAATGTATCTGACCAGACATAATAATTGTGTAGCAATAATATTTTCAATACTGAAAAAAAAAAAAAAAAAATTCAACCATTCGAGCGTGTGTGCGTATATTCTAGGAATATAGAAAGCCGTATGTGCATACGGTTCTTGACAAGGCATATCGTCGACGGGGAGTCAAGGTCGTATTTAGATTTTGCTAAATTTTCCAGGAGAGCCAAAAATCACACAGAGGTTAAGAATCAAAATATCTTATAAAACCGTCACGTCGAAATGTCGTATTTCTGAAACTTTTCTCAGATATTTCGGTACAAAATGTATGTGTAGCCATTTAAACAGTGTGCAACTATCCGCACATATCAAGCTCGACATTTAGTGCAGAAATAAAGAGTGAAAGCTACTAGTTATTTGCAATTTTATACAGCAAAGGCGTATCTTAGGAAAATATTCACCTTTTCCTGCTTCAATTTCATAGATTTCACACAGTAGAGGCTCAACAATAATTTCAATAATACGTATTTAACCATAAAACAATACTGGCTATATGTCTTTTGATTGTAATGGTTAGACAACAAAGTTAATTTTTTCAAGAAAATTCGACAATTTAGCTCTTAATATTTTATTATTATTTTTTTGGAACACAACATATACATTTTGAAATAATATCTATAAAACCTCTTTTTTTTATTGGCTTAGAAATACGACAACCAGATGAAAAAATGCACAAGAAAATAATTATCATTCAGAAGAAGCAAAAAAGTGAATTTCGAAATTAAGCAGATAGTGAAATAAAAACCCTAGTTGGAATATAGAAAGCCGGATGACGGTGCTTGACAAGGCATACTGGATGTGGGCGTTCGTTCGTTTCGATCCAATACATGCCAATATCGACAGGAACTGAGATCTTTTAGAGATAAACCTATATTTCAATTTTCTTCAAAATCGGATAAGAATTGTGAGCTGTAGATTGACCACAAATTGTGGCCGGATGGCCAGATGCCGGACGGACAGGGGCGACGACAATATACGTCCACATGAAAATGTGGGCGAATAAAGGGGTTTACAGATAATATACTAGATATATTTTGGGGGAGAACTTATATAGGCCCTTATTTGTTTTTAAATCCTATTCAGTTTAAACTAAATACTCTAATCAATAATTAGTGATAGTTTCCATAAAGAGAGATAACTCCTTGTAACGTAAATGGATGTTCCCTTGTCCATTATGTTTTCTGCATTTTGGTTTAAATCAAACTCTAACCAATACCAACAATATTCTTTGCCGAGAATGATAGCAATGGTGATGTTGCCAAAATTTGAGAGAGAGAGAGAGAGAGAGAGAGAGAGATATTTAACGTTCACGCGACACAAAATAGGTAATTTCGGGACTAACATATGGTTCAAATTTATTTTATTAATTCGCCTGCGCGTAGAAGTCTTTAGCAGTGGGAGGAAACCGGAGGACCCGGAAAAAACCCACGAGGTTGGACAGGCGACCATAATCCTTGTCACGTAAAAACGAGGAAATATGCCATATAATCAAGGCAGTTAAATATCTTATATAACATGATTACATGCGATGTTTAGCAGGGATGGAGCAAGATGGAGCCAGTATGATAGGCCCGGGGTCCCCTAAAGAACGCAATGATTCATTATGTAAGATTTAGATAAAGTGCTGGTCGTTCTTGCTATAATAGTTCAAAAACAGATAATGCAAAACAAATATAGTGAAAATTTTGTTCAGATTACTTTATTCTAAGCTGAGATATTAGCCTTTAAAGTTTGACAAGATGTGTGCACTGATTGTAACCATCGTACAGGTTGTTCGAGGCTTAGTCTCGCTTTACCAATTTTACATTAAATCATTAAATGGCTGAACCGTTCTAACCTACTTGAAATCGGATCTATCTGATGACATCGAGACTTTGTTATCGTCTTGTCATGTTAATAAATGTCTAATTAATAGTTTATATAACATTTAAGGCCTAGACAAAGACATGCAATAGGCAGATTCAACTCTCGCATAGTGCCTGTTTAAATTTGAGGCCCTTTACAGTCATGATTGTATTATGATTTTATAAACACTCGCTTTATTCCATATCTTCAGATTGAGAAACTGGAAGTTCAACAATGGAAGAATTAATCGATGCTGTTGGATCGTTTGGACGATTTCAATGGATGCTGATTCTACTCATTATGGTGTCCAAGATAACGTTTGGATTCAGTATGCTGATCATGGCATTTGGAGCGGTGATTCCAGACTGGTGGTGCCTTGCTCCTGAAAGTGATTCCATCAGCGGTAACTTCACCAACAGAACTTCCTTTAATTTTAAGAAGTGTGACATCATTGTCGATAATGTGACGTTACCATCGTGTAGCAGAGTGTTTGAAACCTCCATTACAAGTACTGTTGTCAGCGCGGTAGGTTAGCTCCGATTCTTCGTTTATTTATAATGGGTTATTTATTTGTAGCATTCGTGGTATCGTTATAAAACGAGGTTTTACCTCAACCGGGCTAAAGAAGACAATATTGGGTCTTTGAAAAATTGTTGCTTCACTCTTTCTATAGAGTCAAACCACACGTACTTAATGAACGCGAATGATATATTTATATATTAAAACAGTGATATTTTGGTAAAATCCTAACCATTGTCAAAATAGCCATCAAATTATGTATGTTTATTGATCTATGGTTGGTAGACCAAATAAGGTAATGCCCCCCTACCCACTCCCTGCTCTTGAGAAATGGAGAGGTTTATTCCATATGTGGGATTGAAATTAACGTCAAGGTTAATCTAAAACGTGCAGAAATTAGGGGGTTATAAAAGAGGGTGTTGAGCGAGACTGGTCAGAGCTCACCCAGGTATTCCAACCAGCTATTATTTATTGAGAACGAGGAACCTTCGTAGTCATTCCAGCTTAACAATAATGTCGTAGGAACCATTTAACCTGTAGTGTTATATATTACTATCACGAAGAAAACAAACGCAACAAGGAAAGACGTCCGATAGTACTACAAGGGTCATGCCATTTAGTGTGCAATGAAATAAATTGTCCCCGGACAGTGGTTTTATTACGAACTTCTAGCAAAAAAATCCCAAGGAAATATGAACCTAACCCAGATAACCGCTCATAGTAATAAATGGTTGGACTTGTTGATCAGCAGTGGACCACACAGAGACGATGGAATCAATCGAAACTGCGACATCAATCAATTCTCGGTTGTTATAAAATGGAACCGATCCAAACAGGGTACCGAGTTGAACCGCGACACCACACCAAAGCTGTTAGAATTTAATTGCATTATTTTTATTTTAGTTTGATCTGGTCTGTGAGAAGGAGTGGATTAAACCTGTAGTAACAGCTGTCCAGATGGGAGGAGTTCTTGTGGGAGCTCTGTTAGCTGGTCAAGCTGGTGATACCATCGGTAGAAAGAAAACCATCTATCTGTGTATGCTGCTTCACGCCATCTTCAACTTCACCATTATCTTCTCCATCAATTGGGAAATGTTTGCCGTGTTTAGATTTTTGATTGGTTTAACAATTGGTGGTTATCTGGTGATAGTTGTCTATCCTCTCGAGTTTATTGGTACCCACAGACGTGCTCTAGCAAGTGCCATGCCCTTCTGGGCTGTTGGCGTCTGCCTGTTGGCTCTTGTTGCTTACTTGATACCAGATTGGGAATGTCTTCATCTTTTATGCGGAGGTTTCACTATGCCTTTTCTGCTCGGCTGGTTGTGAGTATACTACATAATTAGGTTCTGGTTTCAAATAGGGCGCCATGGTTGCTCAGGGAGATCATGATTTGCCTGGCTGTGGTGCAGGGCGGTAGAACTGGCAAGGAGAACCCATGTAGAGTGCACGGAAACTATTCCATACATTTCACGTCGGCAAGAAAGTCCGGACTAGAAATGATAAGCCTTCAGGGGTTAGCGAGCTACGGTGACGTCAAGGTCTCGTATTGGATTCCGACTTTGTGTCCAGGAATGTAGTCCCTTATACCCGTATTCTAGGCTATCCAGCTGTAAATGCCGACCGACGTGATAGTGCATAATTAATGTAAACAAAATAGATAGGGGCAATAAAATGTAAGTCAAAGTTCGATTGCAGGAGTTGGTGCAAGTACGTTCACTTTACATTTATTTGATTTGGGTTAAAATTTATATGGAAAAACAAACAGATTAAAATATACCTTTTAGCATTATAGATAAAATTACAAGTTTTATAAATGTAATTTGAATTTTATAACTGTTGTTTGAATTTTATAAATGTAGTTTGAATTTTATAAATGCAATTTGTATTTCTTTAAATGCAGTTTGTATTTCTATGAATGCAATTTGTATTTCTATAAATACTGTTTGTATTTCTATAAATACTGTTTGTATTTCTATAAATACTGTTTGTATTTCTATAAATACTGTTTGTATTTCTATACAATTTGTATAGAATGCAATTTGTATTTCTATAAATGCAGTTTGTATTTCTATAAATGCAGTTTGTATTTCTATAAATGCAATTTGTATTTCTATAAATGCGATTTGTATTTCTATAAATACAATTTGTATTTCTATAAATACAATTTGTATTTCTATAAATACAATTTGTATTTCTATAAATACAATTTGTATTTCTATAAATACAATTTGTATTTCTATAAATACCGTTTGTATTTTAATAAATATTGTTCGAAGTTTGTTTTTGTAATTTAAATAAATCTAGTTTTGTACCCGAGAGTATGAGATGGTTAGCAACCAAAGATAAAATTCCAGAAGCTCTGGAAATCTTGGCCAGGATTGCTAAAATAAATGGAACAGTTGTACCGACAAATGCCGAGAGTGTTTTAAGGAAACTTAGCGAGGCAGAAAAGCAACAAAATGAAGGATTAAAGAAATATACCTATTTAGATATTTATCGTGGTTTGACCATGTTTAAAACAACGTTTTGTATTCAATTTATTTGGTAAGTTTCATTTGTCTTTTTAAAATATAAATCATTAGCTGGTTACCCAAGAAGTTACCGCCCAGCTAGAGCTGGAAGTGCGACACTCAAAACAACTTGGGCCTCCCCAACCCCTGACTCTACATGGAGCTGCCCTTATGTAGGCTTTATGTAGTCACCAAACAGACAACAAATATACATCTGAGGTAGGGTTTTTTAAGACGCCAAAACTACTGGCGTTAATTTCTTCTGGAGTTATGGCCCTCGTTTCACGTTATTGCACCTTGTTAACACCAAAAATTATCATCCGATTTGTATGTAATTTATATGCATCCTTTAACTTAATGAAACGAAAAATCCTATTGAATTTTGGTTATTTCCGTTAATTACGTGTAGAGTTATGGCCCTTGTTTCACTTTGTAGAACCCTGTGAAGGCTCTAACGACAAAAGTTATCGTCCGATCTGTATGAAATTTGTATGCATTATTTAAATTAGCGAAACGAAGAAGTCTATTGAATTTCAGTAATTTCCGTCAATTGCTTCTAGAGTTATGACTCCTGTTTTATCTTCTTGAACCTTGGGAATGCCCTAACAACAACAGTTATCATCCGATCTGCATTATTTAAATTAGTAAAACGAAAAAGACTGTTGAATTCAACAATTTTTGTATATTACTTCCATAGTTAAGGCCCTTGTTTCAGTTTGTAGCACCTTGTGATCCTTCAAAGGACAAAAATTATATTTTGATTTGTATGAAATTGTCTTGTAAATGCCCCCCACCCCCATTACCTACAAACTATTAAATATGACTGCTAGGACGATTTAGCTGCCGTGGGCGTATGTTTCGTTGTCTGGCAATCTATATTTCTTGTATTTGTTAATAATCTATTTTTTATGTTTTCTGTGGCTGCTATTTATCATGGTGTTATATTTTCTAGATTTTCTGTAGCTGCTATTTAATATGGTGTTATATTTTGTAGGTGCTCTGTTGCTGCTATTTATTATGGTGTTATATTTTCTCGGTTTTCTGTAGCTGCTATTTATTATGGTGTTATCTTTCGTATATAGGTACTCTGTAGTTGTTTGCTGCTATATTTTGTAGGTTTTCTGTGGCTGTTATTTAATATGGCATTATATTTTGTAGGTTCTCTGTTGCTGCTATTTATTATGGTGTTAAATTTTGTAGGTTCTCTGTTGCTGCTATTTATTATGGTGTTAAATTTTGTAGGTTCTCTGTAGCTGCTATATATCATGGTGTTATATTTTCTAGGTTTTCTGTGGCTGCTGTATATGATAGTTTTATATTTCATATTGTTTCTGTGGATTCTATATGCTATGGTGTTATATTTTCTAGGTTTTCTGTAAACGTTATATATTACGATGTTATATTTTCTGCTTTCCGTAGCTGCTATTTATTATGGTGTTATATTTTCTAGATTTTCTGTCGCTGCTATATATTATGGTGTTATATTTTCAATGCTATCTGTTATGGTGTTATTTTTTGTAGGTTTTCTGTCGCTGCTGTTTATTATGGTGTTATATTTGGCATTAGTGCTCTAGCGGGAAATTTCTATCTTAATTTCTTCATTGTAAATTCCCTGGAAATGCCTCTCTTTTTGCCAGCTGTTTGGCTTCTAGGAAAGTAAGTTATTTATTTATTTACTGGACAAAGTGCCGAGGTATTGGACCAGAGCTTTCAGTGTGAATGAAATAAAATAGGGTTTATCGTCCCACTTTTGTGTACCTGCAACCAGACTAATGTAGACATAGATAAGCCAAGATGGAAGCAAGCTAAACGATCCCGAGGAACTATATTGGCCAACACATCCGGGGCCTCCTGGTTAGCGAAATGAAATGGGGTTTAACCGCTTACTGGTTTGCTCCGAACTGGGCTAACAGCGGCACTACGGCCTACTCTTATATCGAATTCCAACTGTCAAGGGATCTTTTACGTGCACACCAATATGTACACGGGACCTCAGTTTTTCGTCTCATCCGAATGACTAAACAGCTGTCCTTGTCAGGCCCTCCGAACCGGCATCACTGACAAGGGGGAACCATACCGGAAAATCTGGATGAACTTTCTCGGCCAATGCAGGGATCGAACACCCGACCTCCAGGCTAGCGAGCCAGCGTCTTACCCACTTAGCCACCGTGGTCCCCTTTTTATGGTTAGCGAGTCAGTACAAGATTTACTGAGCCACATTATGGCGCAATAAAGGTCAAATGGCTGATTTCCTAAACCGTCGAGATATGTTTCCGAGGAAATATCTTGGCCAACACCCGAGACCTTCTGGTTGGCGAGTCAGTTATGTTTCATCCTATCATTCGGATAACAATGTTTTTTTTTTGTTTTCTTGTAGAATTGGTCGTAGATTGGGAACCTCTCTTCCTTTATTTCTGGCGGGTGCCTTGTGTATTATAGTAATAATAGTACAGGAAGGTAAGTCACGTGTAGAGTTATTTCCTCTGTCGCACTGATAACTCAGTATCTGTCCACCATTTCTTCTCGTACAATAAACATTACTTGACGTTAAAGGAGCTAAATCGCTAATATTTGGGACCTAGAAATTGGGTCTCAACGCATATAATAATGTAATATGAATGTATATAAACTGATTTACATTCAGTCGTTTCCGTTTTTATTCTAATTTCAAATCATTTATGTTAGGCGAAATACGCCAGAAGTCTCAATCGAATGGCAATCTCCAGTGTCTGGATATTTCAGTCTACACCGATAACATTTATTGCGCATGCTCCCCAGATAAGAATATGGCGTCAGCGTTTGAAATGACCTGTGGAATATGTTTGGCCTCGTTCTTCGAGTCTTTTGTACACGATTCTTGTACCAATGGTAAAATGTTTATTTTGTCTTAAATATTGGATATAAGAAGCCCATCTTTTGTCGGTAAGATCACAATATTAATGTTGATTTAAATTGACAAATAATTCGTGTTTTCAATGTCGAAGACGGGATGATACTGAGTTAGAGACTTAGCTACTTTAATTACAGCATGAAACGCGGCTCATCGGACTGGTTGACCGGTTATAATATCGTTATTCAGATCTGCAGGGGAATGACATTCCAAATCGTGAATCAAACCGAAACCGGGTGAATGGTGTTTAAATCAGTGTACTTGAGAGTCACAAATCTGTCAACAAAACCCCTCTAATGAGGTTATGGTTTCTTTGGACTTACATCCCAACACCCGGGGTTTCATAAAGATAACACTATGTTTTATAGTTGACGTAGTGTGCCTATAGTCACCATAATTGGCAAGTTAATGGTTGACGCCATGTATTTTTATTATTCTTAGTGTTTAACGTCCGCTTCCACCGAAGGTGATATCGCAGACAAGTCTTATTTTTTTTATTAGCTTAGCGCACGCCCAGGAGTCTTTCCAGTGGGAGGAAACCGGAGTACCCGCAGTAAACCCAGAAGGTTCAGAAGGCGCCCCTATCTCCAAGCCACATAGGCTTTATAGCCAAGATCATGTTTTTTATAGTTGACGTCACGTCTATTTGTAGTGTAGACAACGTGTGTATAATCTATTTTTCAGCAACTGACACGGCTAGAGGTACAGCTATAACAGCCTTGTCATTGGCAGCTAAATTATCCGTCGGAGCAGCATGGATGGCTTTACTTCTTATAACAAATGAAAGTTATCCCACTGTTATCAGGTTTGTGTATATTTCTTATTGACTTGAGAGTCACTGGCCACAGTTGCCGAATGGCAGACAAAAACATTAGTTCAGTTATCTAATAGACCGCGAATTGTCTAAGAAAAATACAAATTAAACGTAGAAGACAACTCTATGCAAAAATTATTTTGTTCCCATTGCCTCGAGATTGCCTTTTACCAAATAACATGGCCTCTGAAAACAGAGAACAGTCATTTTACAAGATAGGCCTCTGACCAAAGTACGTTATATTTTTGACACTGTCATATGCCGTTCGTAAACATCCGTCATCATCCTCGGGTTCCTCTAGTCGTGATGGTAAGGTATTGGGAGAGGCCTCTCTTCATACATTTTCAATAGAAGACCTGATCTCGCTTTTAACTCAATTCATCTTATCAAGGCGTGGTCATTGCTTCCCGAACATGCTCTTCATTTTAGAAACCGGGCGCCGATTTCATACTTAACAACGCGGTGGCTCAGTTAGTACAACACTTGCTCTCGAACAAGGAGGTGTAGTGTTCGCTCCTGGTGTTGGCCGAGGAAATAGGTAGTTAAACCAAATTTCATTTTATTTTATAGTGGATATCTTTGTTTGTAGGTATGTGGGTTATGGTGCTGCTAATACAGTGGCTCGAGCTGGTGGAATTCTGGCGCCCTTCATCTTCAGTGTGGTAAGTTGACACAAAACATTCACTGGTTATGTAGGATGTAAAAATAAAGTACTTCTTAGCGACTTTCTGTTGGGTGGTCGAGTGGTCAAATGCGTGCGCTTTAAATCACATGGTCAGCCACTGAGTCAAGTGACGTGGTTTCGATCCCTAGTTTGTACGTGACAAGACGTGGGTCGCCTACCCAACCTCATGCATTTTCTACAAGTCCCCTGGTTTTGACTCACTTCTAAAGATTCCCAAGCACAAACGAATTATTGAAAACGAATAAATTTATTCCATGTGCTAGTCCCAAAATGACCTAGTTTGTGTCGAGTTTTACATTACAAGGTCCAAGATATACCCACTTGAAACCTGTTCAATTTATTCCTAGAGCAAGAACCGGATCGCATCGTTTGTGATAATGGGTGTTCTTCTCATCTTAAGTGGAATCGCTGGTTTATTTCTTAAAGAAACCAAAGACAAGGCTCTATCGGATCTACTGGTAACCAAGGAAACCCACAATAAAACTAAACAAACGTTGGAAGAGGAAGAAGGTGGCCGTATTGGTCCTTATGAAGTTGGATCTGAAGATGTAATAATTGACTCCATCAACGATCAGAGGAACCATGACAAAAAGAACAAAGAAAAATGCGACCCATATTCAAACGAAGTAAATACATATCTATAAAATCACGAACAGCGAATAAACAATATTAGACATGGAGTAAATATATTAGAGTTTTTTTAAGTTGACCCGATAAAAGCGTGACTTGGGTTTTTATACATGGCAAATTGGCACAAACTCTGATTAGAACACAGATTCTACAATCTGATTAAAACACAGATCCTATTTTCGTTTCTGAGGTCTGCATGTCTTAATGATATTTTATAAAATAAACTTTATGTGGTTGTTTTTAAACTTATTGGGCGGGATACAATGACATAGCTATCCGACCGACTTCTGACGATGGGAACATTAGGCGGGATATATAGCGAAGGGTCTGACTTAAAATCGTCTTTATTTGCCTGTTAATTTTAAATATATTTTATATATGTTATGATTGTTTATATTATATTTCAAAGGGTACACGTGTTTTTATTTTCATATAGTTTTAGGTTCACAAAATATTGGTTAAGTAATATGAACATAAATTTATTATATGATATGATGAATAAGTATAAAATTCATTGTAGATAACAAAAATCAATGTTTTGTGTAGAGGTCGGCCATTGTCTCATAGATGTTACTTTTATAAATAACTTTTAATATATACTTCTTTTAACATTAAAGAGTTTGCTTGGCGGATCATTCCAAGTTTAAATACTATAAAAATAAAAAAAAGTTGAATGTTGTGTTGGACAAGCATCATAAAAGATTTTGTTGTACGCGTCTTTTACATTCCTATAGATTCTGAATTGTATGTTTTTTATTTATACAACTTTATAGAGTCTTTTAAGTATAGATTTATAAATGGATGTTTTTATTTTTATAGAAAGTATTTTTTTCATATTTAACTTCATTTTGTTTTGTTTTTATGTTTATTGCATAGCGCATCTGAACACATTATTGTGAAAGCGTGCGCTACATAAATGTTTTTATAATAATATTAATAATAATAATTTAATTTTAGCTGAATAGCTAAGGTAGTATTTTTAATATTCCCAAAACAACTGCTTATTGGTTATATATTTATCAGTATGCACATTTCATAAGGTTAACCCTTGTCGGTACAAGTGGGGTCTCCGTGGACCCCATGCACATGTTTTAAAGTGTTTTGTAATAACTAATGGGCACCGCTTTCTGAAATGCAGTGACTTTGTCCCCTATACATTTTTACTCATAGCGAAGAGATCGGTAGTCATCTGTTTCCCACATGCAGAGTTACATTACATGCAAATCAGGCCCAACGCTTGAAGGGAACATGGGGTCCAATCGGACTCACAGTAGAGATTTTGCTAATGTGTTTGCTGCCTCATACCATATTGCTATGCCAGAGTATTATCTCTTTTAGAGTCTGCATATTACAAATACCAAATTCCAAATAATCAAAGGTTTTTGTATCAAGCGTAAATTGCCATGTAACCTCTTTATCACGTAGTACACAAAGTAGAAATTTTGTTAGAATTATTAAATACTTTCCATATGTCACTAAAATGTTTTTCGATAATAATTTAGGTGTTTTTCAGATGTCAAATATGAATGCCAATAAAAACCAAACCGCTGCCTTTTAATTCAAATATATTTGTACGTAAAAACTTTGAATTATAACTGTGGTCCATATGAACCCCATGATACATGCTGTGATTCTCAAAACGTGCACCCACAAGGGTTAATCTAGCCAACTACCGAAACAATATTTTATCTCAGAACTGAAGGATGCAGTCTAAAAATACCACGGCCATCATAGAGCTATTTTATATTAACATCTTCTTGGTTAACTCTTGTTTTGCACCCTCATAGTTATAAGAAACAGACTGATTCATCCTCATAGTTATAATAAGAAACGAACTGATTCATGACAGAAATAGAAATTGTTGACGGAACCGAGAGGGTTTCTATCTGATACCAGCGGTTTATCCGCAGCTGATTGGGTAGAACCCTAAACCGAAAGGAGTAAAGCCGAAACAGGAAGTGATAGTGAAGCGCAACCGGGCCTCTATCACTGGACGGTCAAAGGTACACTGATACTCAAATTTCAGCCGCGCTAACCCTAACTATAACCCAACCCTACCTAACCATGATCTGAAAGTAGTATAACTCGGAAACCAGAGGTGATACTGTAACCACCATCCCCGAACAGACAAGCGACAGTCAGAAATAGATTAGCAATCTAGATGACCACATTCTTTCTATATATATACATTGAATGAAAGCAAGCTTTTTAAAACCGAACGATGATAATACATAGATTTTTAAGATAGGTACAAATACAGGAAGGTGTATGACATTGTGTTGAAAACCCATGAAACCCCATTCTGGCATTGACCCGGTAACCTGATATGACACCTAGAGCTAATGTTAGATATCTAGTATTATCAACTAAAGCTTCAACCAACAGTTATCATACACATGTATAACAACTAAGAGGAACGGTTATTAGAACTAAAGTCTTACACATAACACTAATAAAATCCATTCGGTACTGCGAAGGTAACTAAATTCTCCACCATCCGTACTAACATAATTCTAACCATATTATTTCTAACAACATCTACAGCAGAAAAAAAGCATTATATTTGTAACGCTGTCCTAAATTTTGCAAGCTTGCGAGTTTTACATCATCCGGACGTTGCTAGATTGCTTTACAATTCCCCAACTTATCGCTACATTATCCCGATTTACTGCACGCACGTGAACAGTAGTGTCCAATCAGAGGTTGTGACGAAAACACACTCAAATCAAATACAAATGTATAGCGACCTCCACGGAAACTTTGACATTGAATGAACCTTGAATTTTGCTTTACAACTCGATTGTCACAGGTAGACATTTTAGCTGGAAAGCACGAGACCTGGTATTCGTGATAATCGAGGAATCTGATTGGCTCTCAAGCTTGGTGAATACCCATTCAAAATTAGTGCCGAAATATACAGGTTATTACGAGAAGGCCCTGATAAGATGTACGGAGTTAAAGTGTGATCAAGCCTTCTATTGAAGATGGGAATTGCTAAGCTGAAGCACACGGCACCAACTGACACGTCATTAAAACAAGAGGTCAAATTGACAATCTATGACTCAACTTCATAAATCAGAGAATCAATTGGGTGATAATAGCGCCATCAACTTCGATTCACAAGTAGTTGTTAGATTTTGTTTATAAGATTTAAAGGGAAAGTTGATGTGAACAATCGAATTGTCAGTAATGTATTTTATTTTGGAATTTGGCATCCAAGGAACACTAATTATGTCAACCCTTGCAGGTGTTTGGACTAGTTTGTAGCAAGGTGATGTCACTTTACCATGCCCTTAATGACATCTAATCGTATTAATAATCATTGCTTTCCTAAACTGGTGAGGCTCTCAAATTATGTCCATTTTTAATCCCACACCCGTGTCGACTGCTCTTTCAACTTTCAAAGTGTCATGAACACATATATTATAGATGACAGCAAACAAACTGAAACTGAACGATGAGAAAACTGCAGCTTTACTTCTTGGTCCTGAATCTAGACGTGGTCATCGAGGTATAACACAAGGGCATGTTGGTAACCCCTCTATTCCAATTTCAAACAGCCCAGTAAATCTTGAAATGCTCTTGATTAGCAGTGTCAATATGGAAACAAATACCAAAACTGTGCCATCCTTTACTGATTGACTTAAAAGGCCACTTTGGTCAATGATCTGCCACTGGAAATAAAGAACTCACCAAATATTGTTATGTTTAGTCCCAGATTCAAAACGTCCCTGTCCACTTTCCTGTGACTGTTGCGATCGTTTCTGGACCGATGTTTAAGCCAACCTATTCAATATTACACTATTTAACTGCATTAAAAGACCCGATTAGCGAAATAATTGAAGCAACTGAATCGTTGATGCTCATCTTTAATCCCATGCATTCAAATCAGATAAGATCAAAATTTATTATACGTATGCAAACATGCCATTAGAAATAGTTTATTAATAATTATGACATAACTACATTATATAAACACAATTTATGAATGATAAGAAAAGGATGGGTGCACGTTCAAGGTAACGTTATCTTCAGTTGTTGTTAATTGATAGACTGCATGCACTATTTTAGGTGAGAACTACTTTTTTTAAAATTAAAATTAATAGGCTGTTTCTGTCAGTTCCTACGGATACTGAAGACAGCAGTCGGAAGGAGCAGGGCAAATTCGAAATATTTCCGTTAATGATTGTATTTCCATTTCGTAAAAGTTACGGGAAGCCAATTCAAAAATTTAAGGAGTCTTTTCCTTTTATAAACTGCGTTTTTTAAATGATAAATAACAAATCTAGTTCTTTGCAGGGCCTTACGTGGGGTAGGGGTTGACCAGTTGGCATGGTATACAATTTCGTGGTAGAGAGGAATGATACGCTTTTGGTAAAGATGATCCTTTGCACAAAATATTAACCATACATTATGCAGGAGCTAAATCTGCCTATTGCAGGTCTGTTTAAGGCCCGAAATCTTATATAAACATTTATAGTAGGGCGAATTACGGCCCAATAGTAAATGTTAATACGTCGTGCTAATCCGCACAGTGTTACTTAATTCAGTAAACTATATTTTAATGGATCTTAATCCCCCCCCCCCCCCCATTTATATCTACTTCATATTGTCTTATATATTTTATTAATCACCTGTCTCCAGTATTCTTTGTTTTACGCTTTATATTGAGCTTATAAATTATAATTAACGTCTACGGGCTATAGCGTTTTAGTTACCAGGGTAAGAACCCAGAAAGTACACAAGAAGTGCACTTGTACACATTTATTAACATGAAAAGAGCTTAATCAACTCTCGATGCCATCTTATGTGTTCACTGGATTTGAATCCGACCTGCTGCTCAACGCTCATTAATGATTAAATGCAAAACTGGATAATCGAAATTATGTTTTTTGATTATTTGATTGAATTTATATTTTTCATAGCGGATTTAACCTGGTCGTACATGATTATACTCTGTGATTATTTGGTAGAATTCCTGGACTTGATAACGGATATAACCTGTCCGTGTATGTGATTATTTCTGGACTTCCTAACATTTTAAATTGTCCGTATATGTTATTGTTTCTGGACTTAAATTCATGTGATTATTTGGTTGAATTCCAGGTTTTCCTAGCAGCTATAACCTAACCGTACACAATTATGCTGTTGTTTTGTTTTTAAGGAATATCTTGGCCATAACGAAGCTAATCTGATTGTTTAGAAACCAACCACAAGGTAAAAGTTTTATCATCTGGAGCTTATTCTGGTTTTATAAATACCCTCTTTATTCCGTATCTTGAGTTTGAAATCGAACAATGGAAGAATTAATCGATGCTGTAGGATCGTTTGGACGATTTCAGTGGATGCTTATTTTATTCATTACGGTATCGCAAATAACGTTTGGATTCAGTATGTTGATTATGACGTTCGGAATGGAGATACCGGACTGGTGGTGCCTTGTTCATGGAAGCGATACGATCAATGGTAACTTCACCAACAGAACTTCCTTCAATTTCAAAAGGTGTGACGTCATTGCTGAAAATGTGACGTTACAATCTTGTAGCAGAGTATTTGAAACCTCCATTACAAGTACTATTGTTAGTACGGTAAGCATACTTGTATTTATATATATATCTATGCTACTTTTAATCAGTAGGTGTTGCATAGTAAACTCTACCCATACACACATTTAAAGATTAATTGTGTAAGTACTAATAAAATAAAACCAAGTACAAACAATCCAAACCATTAGAAGTCCTAAAAAAACAGTATAGGCAAAATAGTGTAATCAGCAAATAGACTCTTCACCGTGTACAAAATACACGATAAACAGTGGTAACAGGTGTCCGGAAGAGTAAGCTTACCCTGCCTGGCGCCACACCCGCCATAGCTGCATCCAATCTATTAGACGAAATCTCGGTAAAATGCACCTGATGAACAGTGTTAAAGGACAATATTGGTGTCAGTCATTACTATTCAAAAAAAGTAGGGGATATTTGATTTTTAAGTGTTATTAAAGTCACCTAATGAAACTGACGAAGAAACAAATGACAAAATGAAATGAAGTTCACATTCATCGATTTATTCCAAATGATCGTTAGACTAAGTAAGGCACAGACTGACCATTATAAGGGTAAAATGATACCCGGGGTCAAACAGCAAAGTTACCACAGCATCACAACCAAGTCAGTAACGGGTAAATCCTCCTCTGTTTGCCAAACAAGCATTGATCCGACGTGGCATACTCCTAATGAGACGTCTAAGGTCATTTTGTTCCAGATTGTCCCATTCCTGTTGCAACGCAGCAGCAAGTTCTTGGACATTGGCAGGACGTTGTTGACGTTGACGTAACCTCTGTCCAAGCATGTCCCAGACATGCTCGATGGGGGAGAGGTCGGGACTCAGTGCTGGCCAAGGTAATGTGGTGATGTTCTGTTGTTGGAGGTAACCTGTAACGATCCTGGCCCTGTGACATCTTACGTTGTCATCCTGGAAGATGAAAGGGCGGCCATGACGTCGTGCGAACGGCACAACATGGACTGCCAAGATGTTGTCCCGGTAGTACTGGCCTGTAACACGCCCTGCAACAACATGTAAAGCCGTTCTTCCAGCAACAGTGATGCCTCCCCACACCATAACAGAACCACCCCCAAATCGATCATGTCTGATGACGTTAACGTCTTGGAAGCGCTCGTTTCGACGACGCCACACCCTCCTACGTCTGTCCAAAAAATCAACAGTGAACCTTGACTCATCTGAAAACATCACATTGCTCCAGCGTCGATTATCCCAGTGTTGACGATCCCTACACCAACGACGTCTTGCCTGAATGTGATGATCTCTCAAACAAGGGATCACGCGAGGACGTCGGGCGCGAAGGTGACCCCTATGCAGTCGATTCCGAATCGTCTGGCCACTCACTCTCACACCAGTGTCTGTTTGAAGACGAGCGCTGATCTGATTTGCTGTGATGACACGATTTCTCAAGGCCAAGGTACGGATAAATCGATCCTGGGCTTGAGTTGTCGCCCTTGGTCGACCTGAGCGTGGTCTGTCCTGTACAGATTGTGTATCACGGTATCTGGACCATAGCCTGCTTATGACAGACTGAGAAACATTCATCGTCCGCGCCACAACCGCCTGTGTTGTGCCGATCTGTAGCATGCCAAGGGCACGTAACCTTTCATTTTGGGTAAGCCGACACATATCAAAATTTGTTTTCTGGTCACTAAAACAATTAAACTGATGTTTCCACCCTGGAATTCAATGCCACAATGACTGTAACATTCAAAGTCAGAGTCGTGCAAATCTTGGGTTGGACCCCCATGATGATCCCAAGCATCACCTGCATTCCATGCGGTAGCTATTGGTGCGTTTGGGCGTCACATGTAACTGGAAATGTTTCTTCTGTTAGGTTCTATAGCGACTTTTTTCGTAGTCATTTGCATATTTTAGTATTATGCCCCCAAAATCAAATATCCCCTACTTTTTTTGAATAGTATATAATTTTAACACAGAGATCATTGCTACGATCGATGAGTAATACAGGTGTCATGAATCGAAAGTAAAAACACGAGTTATCCCTCCATATCACTGACTGGAGTGACGAGTGAAAACAGATACACGGCCGTATTTCTGCTCACTAATAATTCCTTCGAAGACCAAAAGTTGTTGTGTGAGACTGCGAGAGGGGTATCTGACAATTCATAAAAAGAATTGACTGCCACTAGATAAGAGAACACGAAAGAAAAACGGAAAAGTCCGTGCATTACCATGTTTTTATAAGGTATAGAATGAATGTACGGACTATTTCTATTTGAATTACTTTATTGAATTGTCAGATATCCTCTTACAGTCCCATATAACAACTTTTTGTCTTCGAAGGAATTATTAATGAGCAGAAATTCGTCCGTATATCTGTTATCATTCGTCACTTCAGTCAGTTATATAGAGGGATAACTCATGTTTTCCTTTGGCGTTCGTCACTTCCGATCCATGACACCTGCATATTTCTCATCTATCGTAGCAATGATCTCTGTGTTAAAATTATATCTGGAACGTGTTTAACCAGTTCTATCACATATGTGATAATGACTGACACCAATATTTCATTTAACACTGTTCATCAGGTGCATTTTACCGAGATTTCGTCTAATAGTTTGGATGCAGCTACGATGTAGTAGACATAATCAGGGAGATAGTATACGCGTCAATTAAATATATCTAGAATAATAGCCGAGAGAGACATGTTATATTTACCAATCAAGTCAATATGACGGCCATAAAATTTTTTAAAGGTTTTTATAAGTTTAGTGCGCAAGTATCCCTGTAGTTGAAGCTTAGATGACAAATGCCTCGATCTAATTAAAAAATCAGAATAAAAGGAACAAGCTCTCGAGGGCCCTTTCTGGCTTCAAATGTTGTTAAATTTATTATTTAGACATGTATTCACATGGCAAGTCCATAATCAACCGTCTAATTCTTCAGATTTAAATGGATTGTACACCTGCGAGATTTAAATATTTAACGATAAACTGGATAATTGAGACTTAGTGTCAATTGTCAAATACCGTTACTACTATATAATAAACAATCTGCGCTACTTCTTGTAGTGTGGAGGCTCAGTGATGGATGGGGGGGGGGGGGTGTTCATCAAATGGGCACAAAACCAGCCCCAACTTTTCTAGAGTAAAATTTTGCGTAGAATACTATGCCGAGTGGTAATCAGTCCGCCGTTGGGGCGTTTTCGAGATATTCGGGGTCAAAGGTCAAATGAGTTCATTTGCACTCAAAGTGAATGCGCAGTCATTCTTGAATTATGAAAAGAAGCTGAAAATGATCGAAAGTAATCACACTTTCAATAAAAATGTAAACTTGCTAAATTCACCTCTAGTCAAAAGGTAGAATTTGACGTTTTTTTGCACTAGGAAGATTTAAAGCAATAAAATGTCAACGTAGAATATAAAAATTAAAGCGAAACCTGTTCTAATATTAATAATAGGAACATTTAAAATTTATCTTTAGGGGGTCTTACTTTTACTTTGGAACGTCGAAAATGATCTTGCGTAACGGAACCAAAACGATTCGGAAACTGTTTCAAAAATACGTAAAAACTGTTAAATCAAAATCTCTCCGAATTAGTTTTACAACGAATGCTATACATAATGATACTAGTTTTCTGAAAATAAAAACAATTGAATAGTTTCATGGCTGGACTCCAGCCTGCAGGCCGCGTCACAAAGCCTTCCAAAATTTTCCCCGCTAACATTTACCAATACGACATGTATATCCCGTGAACTACTATGTACAACGCATTCGTCGGTTTTATCTGAGTCCATGTTCCGGCGAAATTCATAAAAACTCATAATAAATTTGCAAATTTTTAATCATGTCGCCAGATACGTGTTTTCCCGTCACAGATTAACGTCGGTTTTCCTAGAATGTAAAATCCACGCGACCCGCAGGCTGGAGTCCAACACTGAAACTATTCAATTGTTTTTCAGATAACTAGTATCACTATGTATAACAATCGTTGTGAAAAAAAATTGGAGAGATTTGACAGTTTTTACGGATTTTTGAAACAGGTCGTCAGAATTTACAAAGATTTAACTAATTGAACAGTTGTTAACACTCGGCATCACCGGTCCCACCTGTAATCCTCGCTACACCTTTTGTTCATCATTTAAATACGTGTCTTCCACATGGATGACCCAGGGATTAATGGACTGGAACGGAATGAGACCACTGCGGATACTGAGGATGCCTTTTGATGTGCCTCTTTTAAATGCAATTGAATCCAAGTCGGGATATTATCTATCGTTGATATTTTGTTTTCTGCTGTGGAAAACTTGGTTTCAGAGAAAACTAGATATTTTCCGTTGATATTTGATTTTGTTTCTAAATTAAATGTTAAATTATCAGTTTAAATACATTTTATCGTGAAGTATTCGGGAAAATATGATATTTTCTGCATAAAGACCTAACTGTACATTATTTTAGTTTGATCTGGTTTGTGAGAAGGAGTGGATTAAACCTGTAGTAACAGCTGTCCAGATGGGAGGAGTTCTTGTGGGAGCTCTGTTAGCTGGTCAAGCTGGTGATACCATCGGTAGAAAGAAAACCATCTATCTATGTATTCTGCTTCACGCCATCTTCAACTTCGCCATTATCTTCTCCGTCAGTTGGGAAATGTTTGCCGTGTTTAGATTTTTGATTGGTTTAACAATTGGTGGTTATCTGGTGATAGTTGTCTATCCTCTTGAGTTTATTGGTATGCATCGCCGGGCTTTAGCGGTTGCAATGCCCTTCTGGTTTATTGGTATCTCCCTACTGTCTCTAGCTGCCTTTCTGATACCAGATTGGAAAGGTCTTTATCTTATCTGTGGAGGTTTCACTCTGCCATTTTTACTGGGTTGGTTGTGAGTATTTGCTTGTTTTAGTTTCTTGGTTCAAATATATTTCACGTAGAAAAATGAATGTTTAAGTGGGGAGGCAGGGTGGGTCTTTGGTTATTGGCCACGGAAGCGTATAGGGGTCATGCAAAATTTTGTATAAGACCTCGAGATCCTGCGATCCTGTGATACTTTCTCGAGATCTCAATCTAATGGTCTCGAAATCCCCTAATAATTTTCTCGAGAATATCCCATCCTGTGTTAACGATCTGGAGAATTCGAGTTAATGTTCTCGGGATCTTGCCATCCTGTGTAAATTTTCTCGAGATCTCGGGTATTTTTATGTGTACAGGTAGTTTTAACGTTTTCTCAGCGCCCCACAACCTGTCGTTTCGAAGTTTACTCCCCCCCCCCCACACACACACCCACACATTCCCGAAAAACTTAATAGCACGATAGAGCCTACAGTTTAGTGCAAAGCATTGGGGCCATGAGAGGACGGCCCCTGTCGCTTCTAGCGCACCTTATCGTTCTGGAGTTATCCCCCTTATCCGAAAAACTTGTTAACGCAATAGAGGCTACAGTTTTTAACTGATTTTGCTTTTTGAATGTGGTGTGAAGCACTAGGGCCTTTCGATTTTCAGTATTTCGCAAACTTTGTCCGTATTTCTTTCAAATATGTGACGATGAGAGGACGAAACCTATCGATATTCAGCATTCGGTGACCATCTGTTCCTTAATATGCCCCCACCCCCGCTCCCTGAAAGCCTTGTTCACGTCATAGAGGCTCCACTTTTACAATTGTGTGTGAAGCTTTGGGGTCATGAACTTTATAGATATTCAATGGTTAGCTATCTTCCGTTCCGGAGTTATACTCTCCATTCTTTGAAAACTTTGTTTTAATGGATTTCCGCGACAAGGATGACCCCTGCTACTTTTCAGCAATATAAGGGTTTTTGTCCCAGTATATAACAAGCACGTGAACACGATAGAGAATAGATTTCTTGAAGAATGCTAGATCCTTATTCGATTTATTAAACAATCACGTTTTCCTTTCGAATAATCTGCTGTAGAGACATAGATGTTGTGTGGGCGTATCTCTACACTTTGCGTGGCTATCGTTCAAATTTCTTTTGAATCATTAGTGTCATAAGCAGAGGAACCCTATTTATTTTCGGCGGAACAATGAACCTTATTGATTTGCAGCGATCCCTGGCGTTTTGTTATGGCGTTATTCCTATTTTCCGGTAAACCTTGTGAACGCGTTAGAGCCCAGATTTTTTCAAGATTTTTGATTTAAAACCAGCTCCGAAGCATTTGTGCCACAAGACAATAAACTCTGTGTCTAGCTTTATTCTCAAACAAAATATGGTCTGAAAACCATGCAAAACATGACATTTTCTATTAAACGTGGCCCAAACATTAAATTGAAATAATTTAACAAGCATGTCTCTAATTCAAAGATAACGTGGTAGGGTTTTGAATTTCATATTTGGTGTGAAGTATTTGGGCCATAAGACGACGTACCCTATGATTTTAATCATATTTCAAATTTAGTGTAAATCATGGGTACCCTATCGATTGTCCGTTTATTCTTTCATTAGTTAGCAGTTTTCCTTTGTAACAAATGCGAAGTATTGGGCCAATGGTTGCATCACAACGTGGAGACACTACCATATAAGGTTTCATATTAACTCGGGATCTCGAGAAAATTTACCCAGGATGTCAATATCTCGAGAACATTAACCCGAATTCTCGAGAAAATTTACACAGGATATCAATATCTCAGGATAATTATCAGGGGATTTCGAGAACATTAAATTGAGATCTCGAGAAAATTGCCAGGTGATCAGGGGATTTCGAGAAAGTATCACAGGATCGCAGGATATCGAGACCTTCTACAAAATTTTGCATGACCCCTATATGCTTCCGTAATTGGCAAACTGGGTGTATAACCACTGTATAAACCTCTGTATAAACATTAAAATTTTTTATAAATGTTTTTGAAAAAAGCTTATAAATATAAAAAAAAACCCAATATATATATTTCTTGAAATTTTTATAAATATATTTTAAAATTTTTTATAAATATATTTTAAAATTTTTTATAAATATATTTTAAAAATTTTTATAAATATATTTTAAAATTTTTTATAAATATATTTTAAAATTTTTTATAAATATATTCTAAAAATTCATAAATATATTCTAAAAATTTCATAAATATTTTTATACATTTCTTTTTTTAATTTTTAAATTTTCATAATTATTTTTTTTTTAATTTTTAAATTTTCATATTTTTTTTCTTAAATTTCCATAAATATTTTTTTTTTAAATTTTGATACCATCAATATTTTTTTTTAAAATTTTCATACATATTTATTTTTTAATTTTCATAAATACATTTTTTTTAAATTTTCATAAATATTTGTTTAAATTTTCATAAATACAGTTTTGTACCCGAGAGTTTGAGATGGTTAGCAACCAAGGATAAAATACAAGAAGCTCTTGAAATCTTGGCCAGGATTGCTAAAATAAATGGAACAGTGGTACCGACAAATGCCGAGAGTGTTTTAAGGAAACTTAGCGAGACAGAGAAGCAACAAAATGGAAGATTAAAGAAATATACCTATTTAGATATTTATCGTGGTTTGAACATGTTTAAAACAACATTTTGTATTCAATTGATTTGGTGAGTGTCATTTATAAATACCAATGTTGTCGTACATGAGTTAAACTTTCGGGTGTTTGCCACAATGGACCTATTCTTCAGTAAACATAAATTAAAGCAAGTAAAAAAAGAGAATTTGTGTTGTTACCTCTTTAATACTTTGATGTGGGGTATCAATAATCCCGAAAATAGTCCCCCTCTCTCTGTTTGAGCAGGGCAAATAGGCACGAATTAATAAAGTCAGTGGGGGTTCATTGAGTGGTCTGCATCCATATGCCCTCCACCATTTTCAGATTTTACTAGACTTGTGGAGAATGCATGCCCCGTATGGCAATATATTAGACTCAAAATTCTAACATGCTATCGTCTTATTTCTAACTTCTATTCATGTAATTTCTAACTTCTATTTATGTAATTTCTAAATTAAGACAATGTATAATCCAACTTTTTTGTTTGTTCAGTGTTAGTTTATAATTCTATTTAATCTTATTTCTACTATTTAGATGGAAATGCCTTCTTCATTGAGGCTTTTGATTAAGCATGAAAGTCAAACAAATTTAGAATTTTGATACTTCTACTTAGCAACCATCATTATGACGTCGTGTCATAATATAGAATTTACATGAATAGAAGTTAGAAGTTACAAGAATAGAAGATAGAAATTAGACGATAGCATGTCAGAATTTTTAGTCTAACATACTGCCATAGGCCCCGAGTCTCTACTAATGTTGCTATATTTAACCATCGTTCCATTTATCTTGTATTGATGGTTGTCGTGTACGATGTAGGGAATTCTTTTTCTAAAACAACTGATGTCGTATACCTGGGAAGCTAAAAAAATCCCCCAGTTTCTAATGGATAATATTTTGTAGGTTTTGTGTGGAAGTTTTAAAGTACGGTATTGTACTGGAAATTAGTGATCTAGCAGATAACTTCTATCTCAACCTTTTTATCTTAAATTCTATGGGAATTCTGTTATTTCCGTTAGCTGTCTTCCTTCTAGCAAAGTAAGTAAAGGTTTTTTTTGTTGTGTTTTTTGTTGTTTTTTTTGGGGGGGGGGGGGGCATTGGGAATGGCGCCTAGAAAAATATAAAGTCTAAAGTCAGAAAGTACCCAGTTTCCTAATTATACAGTTATAAACAATTACGATTGTGCTATGAGTATGGCGTTGGCTCACTAACAAGGAAGTCGATCGGAGTTGGCGGAGAAAGTTCATCCTCTGATATATATATATAACAGCGTATGTTTGGTTGTATTATAGCGGGCCGGGAAAGGGAGTTCTTATACCTTATAATCTTTTTTAGGTTTCTTAGTTGGCGAAAATATTTCGTCTAAGGTACGAATTTACGTAATTTTACAGTCATATACAAATACCACTTGGATACCGGGAGGTTTATTCAAGAAAATATTTCATCTAACTAAATTTAATTTAATATTTTAGGGGACGAGGAAAGGGAGTTTCTATGCCTTTATTTATATCTGCTATCATGTGTATTATAGTTATAATCATACAGGAAGGTAAGTTGGTGTATATAGGAGCTTTTACGCGTGACGTACTTCCGGTGTCTATTTTTAGCCTGGCCCTTTTCTATCCGTATCTTAACATGGTAAATGCTAGGGAAAGCGGGGTTTTCCCTCTTTTTCTCTTTATAGAAAACGTATTCTTTAATGCCACTCTTGTTTTAAGTTGCGTGTAGCATTCGAAATAAATTACCGATTTCAAATCATGTCTAAGTTATTAATTTTTTGTTTTAATGACGATATACTGCGTTGTAGCAGACGATATATGTCAAGCTCGCACACGGCCCAGTTGACCGCAGTACGCAAAAGCATTACAAAGATGCATTGCTGTATGAAGCCGATTTATATGTTTTGTTTTAATTTTACTGCAAACAATTAATAGATAACATCTGTTTGGTTGTAAAATGCCATGAAATAGAGCATAAGAGTAAATTATAGAATGGGTAATTAGAGATGTTGACCTGCGGTTCCACGAAAGAATTTAAATTTAAGCACGACCGTAGCACATCATACCACATCTAATAAAAAAAGAGAACAAATACTAATCACGATGTAAAGAATGTACTGAGGCCAGTTACATATTTCCATTCAACAGTTGTTCTCTGAACCAAATACTGAATAAGAAATTGATAAAATGGACACAAATGCATCGTTCTTCTTCTTGGTTGCAGCAAGATAAACTGATTGGATTAAAATTTCACTGAGTGCCAAAAGCTGAGCCAAAAGGATTTATGTGACAACAATTAACAGAAAAAAACGGTTTTAAAAATATTCACAGATTCAACTTGATCGTCGTTTTATTCTTTCTGTTATTCATATCCCATCAATCAAGAGAAAAATTTATAAAAATGGCTGAAGTTTTACCCCGTGCACCAAACAACTATTTTATCATTGGTTAGAGCCGTCTAAACGCGGGGAAATTTACAATAGCTATTGGCTAACAGCACGCATGCATAAACAATCTTATTTGCATATTGCATACTATTTATAGTATTATTAGCTGGAATTATTTTCAAGTCGACAGCCCCAAACAAAGACCAACATAGTACCGTGTTTTGTGTCGAGTAGGGTCGTAGCATGCGTTATAGCAGACGATATATCAACCTCGCAAAGAACTGTCCAGTTGGCAGTTGAATGTAAATAGGATAGACCATTTAAATCTTTTGTGTTAATTAATATATAACATCTGTTTGACCGTAAAATGCGTAATAAACTTCACTTAATTCTACTTCGGGCCATTGAGCACGGGTCAGTCATCCACTTGTTTCAATTGCAAACGGCCAATTACGGGTCTGGTAAACTTGCCGTATCTTTCCTATATCGAAGTTTTTGTAAATATCGCTTTCTGGCATCAGTCGGTAAACCTAACGCGTATATAGAAATGGCGTTCAGTTCCATTTTATGTAAAAGAAGCTTAATGTACGACGGTATTTTCACAAAAAAACACACACTGGCCTATGGGTTTCAGTCTACGAATAAGGCCAGTGTCTGCGCATGACCGAAAATGACGTCAAAATGGAAACCCGTAAAAGCTCCTATAGTTAACTCTTGTGTTCATAGTTGACGTCACGTGTTTATAGTTGACGTCATGTGTTTATACTTGACGTCATGTGTTTATAGTTGACGGCATGTGTTTATAGTTGACGGCATGTTTCTTAAAGTTGACATAATATGTTTATAGTTGACGTCACATGCTTAAATTTGATATCATGTGTTCAAAGTTGGTGCCATATGTACATAGTTGACGTCATGTGTTTAAAGTTGACGGCATGTGTTTATAGTTGATACCATGTGTTTAAAGTTGACACCATTTGTCTATAGTTGACACCATGTTTTTAAAAGTTGACATGTGTTGACGGCATATGTTGACGGCATAATATGTTTAAAGTTGGCGTTATGTATTCAAAGTTGACAGCAAATTGCTTGGCAATTGGGGTCTTATGAAATTATTGTGAAAACCCAGCATCATTAGCCCAGTCGGAGCAGAACAGTGGGACGTTAAACCCCATTTCATTTCATTGAGAAAAAAAAAAAAATATTTTATGAATGCAGCTGTACAAATTCAGCCAATGGACATGTTGCTTTCTTAAAATTTGTGGTGGGTATAGTTGATGTCACATGTTTCTGTTTGTCGTTTTGTGTTTATTGTTTACATTTGGTGTCATATGTTGTATTTAACATGTATTTTTTTCAGCAAGTGACACCGTTAAGAGTACAGCTATAACAGCTTTGTCATTTGTAGCTATGTTAAATGTGGGAGGAGCGACGTTGGGTTTATTTCTTATTACGTATGAGAGTTATCCAACAGTTGTCAGGTATTTTCTCATTGATCCTAGCACTATAACCAGGGACATATTAAATTAGCTAAGTCCGTAACTCAATATCATCCAAAATCTTCGACATTGAAAACACGATTTTTTTTTGCAATTTAACTCAGCATTGGTGCTGTGGTCTTACCTGGAAAAGATGGGCTTCTGATATCCAATATTTAAGACAAAATAAACATTTTACCATTGGTACACGAATCGTGTACCATAATGCGTTTCAGCGCCATTTGTAACAAGGTGCTCAAAGAATGAGGCTAGACATATTCCACAAGTCATGTCAAACGGTGATGTCATATTCTTATTTGGAGAGCATGCGCAATATATACTATCGATGTTGACTGGAATAACCAGACGCTAGAAACTGTCTTTCGGTTGAGACTTCTGGCGTATTTCGCCGAACATAACTGATGACAATTCACAGTAAAATGGAAACTATTGAATGTAAAACAGTTTATACAAATTCATATTACATTATTATATGTGTTGCGACCCATTTGTGCCAATTTCCAGGCCCAAAATACTAGCGATTAAGCTCCTTTAAGCTTGCACGGGGCCGTTGGTTGGAAATGTCACTGGGGTCCATGTATCAACAGTCTAGTCATTGCCTTTCACACTCAGTATGGTAGATTGATATATTTCTTTGGCACAAAACTATATGCTTTATATAAAAGTCTGTAAACGGTGCGATATTTTCTGTTCCCCGTGTTAAACGACATATTTATTTATGGTACAATGAATGTTTTGAACTAACTTTGTGGTTCCTTTAATATCGGGGTCCCTGGCTTCCGCCCAGTCAGCTCCCCTTAACCCTGCATAAAACCCTAGCCCTTAGGTAGCGATTTATATTGTGCTTTTTAGTATGATAACAAATAAATTTGTACAATTTTCGGACTAATGTGTATTACCAACTTCTATCTACGAGAACGTCAAATCCACGTCCATCGTATTTAAAGGAAACCCCTGAAAATAATCGACTTTTCATCGAATTATTTCACCCGTGTAGATTATTTAGCGATTTCCAGACTAGTCTTATCTCTGTATTTTTCATTGTTTATGCAAGAGCTCCAGTGACATTTTTAGCCAGGGCCCAATGCAAGCTTAACCTGGCGTCACTCCTAAATCTTGTTGGGAAACGAACCCTTCGTTCTTCTGAGTTAACCCTTCCATTTGTATGTCCAAGAGTAAATTCTACACACGGCACATATTACCGCAGAATTCCGATTGATCATAAGCAAGTTATACTCTTTATTTTGTAGATGTGTATCTATGGTGCAGCTAATGCACGTTGAATGTTTTATTTTGTAGGTGTGTAGGCTATGGTGCTGCTAATGCACGTTGAATGTTTTATTTTGTAGGTGTGGAGGCTATGGTGCTGCTAATGCATGTTAAATGTTTTATTTTGTAGATGTGTAGGCTATGGTGCTGCTAATGCCGTGGCTCAAGTAGGCGGAGTTCTAGCACCCTACATATTTAATGTGGTAAGCTTACACCAAAAAATAGATTAGCTTGATTGAATAATTGGGAACAAAAGCCAGGCTATGCTACGGTACTGCTGATGCCGTGGCTCAAACTGACTGGGTCTAGCACATTACAAATCATGGTAAGCTAACACCAAAAAATAGATTAGCTTGATTGATTAATTGACGGCAAAAGGGTCTGCGCCGCGCCGGTCACGTTACGGAAGATCCTTGGTGTGAGCCTATGTGGCTTGGAGATAGGGGCGCCTTCTCAACCTCGTGGTTTCCTCCCACAGGAAAGACCCCTGCGCGTGCTCTAAGAAAGTAAGACAACTTGTCGGAGATATTTCCCTCATTTGAAAATGACGTTAAACACTAAGAAGAACAAGACTGATCATTGCGACTTGGTTTGTGTCTTAAGCCCGTGTACACGTTGGCGTGCATATAAAGGAACCTTGACATTTGGAATTCGATATAAGAGTAGGCCGTAGCGCACACGGTATGGCGAACGACCGTCTTTATTAGACCAGTTGGCGCAGAAAAGTAGGACGTTAAACCACATTTCATTTCGTAGGTATTGGCGCCCGCTTCCACCAATGGGGGTATCACTGACCAATAACTCTATATCTAACTTTAATACTGGCAGATCGACCCTTAAAATCTGTTTAATTTATTCCTAGAGCAAGAACCGGATCGCACCGTTTGTGATAATGGGTGTTCTTCTCATCTTAAGTGGAATAGCTGGTTTATTTCTTAAAGAAACCAAAGACAAGGCTCTACCGGATCTACTGGTAACCAAGGAAACACACAATAAAACTAAACAAACGATGGAAGAGGAAGAAGGTGGCCATATTGGTCCTTATGGAGTTGGATCTGAAGATGTAATAATTAACTCAACCAGGGATCAGATAAGCCATGATAACAAATACAACGAAAATCGCGAATTAAATACATATCTATAAACGGCTAACAACGGATAAACGTTGATGTCCGCTTCCAATTAGGGTGATATCGCATACTAGGAATGATGTAGTAATTACTATACTCAGACGCACACATTCTATGTAATGTCGTCACGCCGATATCTGGACACTTCCTATAAACATTCCATAATACAATTTTTCTTTGATCGGCTATGCGTATCGCAATTCAAAGGCATAAATCAATCATTCCAGATTTTTTCAGAAAACTTGCTTGGATTATTCGGCTAATTACAAAAACGGACCTTTTCTTGATTCTAAATCGTTCATCAGTGGTTTGCATCACTGAAACCTTGTAAACGTTTATTTTCCAAATTAACAAGTCATTTTGCCTTTCCAGTTTGGCTATTACAATTCGTTAAAACATAGATATGACGTCACCCT